AAAAAAAAAACGTATTCTTGTGTTAAATAATATCTGGTGCTAGGCCTGTATCTGGTAAAAATGTAGTAAAATACATTTCCTAATCCTCACTGATAAAGACGTTCACTTCTTAAAATACGGATATCAGCAATAGATCATTTCATGGCAGTTCTGTCCATCACTTTCCTATTCATTCACAAGAACAGTGCAATAAGAATTATCCAGAAATTCACAAAAAATCGATTAGAAACAATCAAAATCATTGGGAAAAAAACAAAACAAAAGAACAAACAAACAAGTAACTATGTCTAGTTTTATTCTGTTTCTAAAAAATTTACAAGATAGAGTGAACTTACTTTGGACTTAGCTTTATCAGGGTCATCAAGACAACTCCCAAGAATCTCGGCAAATAGTGCAATAAGAATTATCCAGAAATTCACAAAAAATCGATTAGAAACAATCAAAATCATTGGGAAAAAAACAAAACAAAAGAACAAACAAACAAGTAACTATGTCTAGTTTTATTCTGTTTATAAAAAATTTACAAGATAGAGTGAACTTACTTTGGACTTAGCTTTATCAGGGTCATCAAGACAACTCCCAAGAATCTCGGCAAATTCAGGGTCTCTATCATAATCCTTCTCTTTCTCTTCTCTATCTATAAATCCTTTGCCTCTCAAAAACCCACTTTCATCCTCATCCTCGTAATCATCGCCATCATCGGTGTCAAATTTGCTAATTTTAACTATACTTCGCAAATTCCTGGTTCTGGCTGTAGTAACATGTGAGTATAGCTTATACGGAAACTGGGTATAAATTTGATGTTTGGCACTTAGGACTGTAGAATAATGATTTGATTGGCTTGAAATTGGTGGATGAGAATGAAGTAATACTTGAAGATTTGGTGTAGTGGAGTGTAGGAGAGACATTGGATGTGAAAGGGTTTATAGAGTTTAGGATGGACGGCTTGTTTCAGCCAGAACTTGAAAATAATGGGGGTGAGAAACCAGAGAAAATGGGAATTGGGGACTGCTTATAGTTGTAGATTTCAGATCAACATCAAAATTTCAAGAGGAGGAGTGAAGAAACGCAGATTTCAAGTTAAATACCCGAGGAATTGTTGGGTGAAGTGGCAATTTTTTTTTTTTTTTTTTTTTTAATTTTTTTACCACCATCATCAGTGTCAAATTTGCTAATTTTAACTGTACTTCGCAAATTCCTGGTTCTGGCTGTAGTAACATGTGAGTATAGCTTATACGGAAACTGGGTATAAATTTGATGTTTGGCACTTAGGAATGTAGAATAATGATTTGATTGGCTTGAAATTGGTGGATGAGAATGAAGTAATACTTGAAGATTTGGTGTAGTGGAGTGTAGGAGAGACATTGGATGTGAAAGGGTTATAGAGTTTAGGATAAACGGCTTGTTTCAGCCAGAACTTGAAAATAATGTGGGTGAGAAACCAGAGAAAATGGGAATTGGGGACTGCTTATAGTTGTAGATTTCAGATCAACATCAAAATTTCAAGAGAAGGATTGAAGAAACGCAGATTTCAAGTTAAATACCCGAGGAATTGTTGGGTGAAGTGGCAAATTATTATTATTTTTATTTTTTATTTTTTTTTATTTTTTATTTTTTTTTTGTAAATTTGCTTCCTTTTGCTTTAACATTTCAACTTGGATTGAACTAGCTGTACGATCATTTTGTACGCGACCCTAGATAATCTGTGAAGAATCGTGCTACAAATACAAAAATTTTTGATAAAATAAAATAAAATACAAACATCACATGACGTGTCATTATTGGAAGATGAAAAAAAAAAATACAGTCTACTTAAATTTTGCCACATCAGTTTCGATATAAATTCTGTTAAATTTTTTCTATACTTATGGCTTTAATTGATGTGTAAAAACTGTGGGTCAAACTAGTTGCTACATCATAGGATATCAACAAAGATGTCAATCAAGATGTATATGTAGCCTGATTATTTCAACTTTATCATTTTTTTGGTATTTAGCCATTGTTTGGTGGAGGATTAAAATCAGATTTTTAGTATATTTCGATAAAAATTGATAAATATATTATTAAAAAGTTGTGAATCCATGAAATATATGATTAAAATTAATGAAATTCATGGTTAAAATTAATTGTTGATTTAAATTAAAAATTTTAATTTTAACTTCTAACAAACAAGGTCTTAATTAGAGAGACAATCCCAACTTAGTGAGTGGGTGGGGGGAACCAAATTCCCAATCTCACTCAAAAAATAAGTTTGTATATTTCCATTTTACCCTTCAATGTGTTGAGTTAACTATAAAGGTGCTTGGGAGTTTTGGTTAATGGTTATGTAGTTTTTTAGTATAGTTACGAAAGGTTTTGTGTGATTTTTAACCGCAATTTTTAAAGTAGTTCAATCTATGTAGTCCCTATCACCATTGCCTTCATCGCCACCATCACCTCCAACACCTCCACCTGCACCACCAGCAAAAACAATCACAAACCCCCAACAACACTAAAATATGGAAACTACCACCACCACTCCAACAACGCAAAACGAAAACAGCATTACCTTCGTTGTAGATCCACCGCCGCTGGCACCAACGACCTGTAGCACCACATCACCACCAAATTGTAGTAGTGCCCCTTCAGTGTGAAGCACAGCATTGCAGCGATGGTTGGTGTCGTCCATGTCTCCACCCTCGTCCACGAAGCACAGTGTTGAAGCAACGATTGGTGATATAATAGGATCATATTCCCTAATCTCACCACGATTACCTTGTAGAACAAGGTAATGAAGGACATGGCGAAATAGATATTTTGCCATTGGTAAAGCAAAGCTAGCATCATTGCGGCATTCCAAGCCATGAAACGGAAGTTAGGAAAGTCTTGTGGGCAGATGGCATAGGGAGCCGGCAGCATAACCAAGCGCAGCTCAAGCTAGAGTCAACCCCATAATCCAGGTAGCCTTCGCCCATCTATCTGAGGAGCTCCCCATGAGAGATGAAGCAACAGCTCATGGGATCATATTTCAAAAACCACCACTAGCTATAAAGGGCCTGTTCGGTAATGATTATGAGAATCAATTTTTTGAACGATTGAAAGAAAAATGGATCCTACTTGTGCTGAAAAAGTAAAAAAATGACGGCTAAAATAGTAAAATAACAATAAAAAAATTGATTTTTTTTGGTGAAAAATTGCTACCAAATGAGGGCAAAGTTCAATATAATCTCAAGTCATGAAATCGAATCCAAAAATACAATGCTATTTATTCCTTCAATACATGACAAACTTCATCAGACATTATAAATTAATGGCGACCCTAAGACGATATGAAACAATCCAAATATGATGGCGACTAAAACACTAGTTCAGCTCCTCTTCAAGCAATGCTATAAAAAGAATTTCGAATATGTCTCATCAATCCAATATATGGGATGTCCCTTGATCAACATGGTTAATGACCGCCCTAATGATTCCAGACAAAAAGAAACCTTTCAAATATGCATAAGAGCCCGGGATATTGTCTGGCTAAAAACTAGGTAATTTTTTCTTATCTATCTGAATCCATCGACCACGATGAATTACAGGGGCCCAAATTTAACTCAAGAAGCGGCCTCAACCGATCATTTTGCCCTGGCAACAAAAGTTTCTGCCACCAAGATGGGAAAAGCAAAAGTTGCATCACAGTGAACCTAGTTTGTCAATAAAAAAAATAAGGAACGATGTTTGAGAACAGCACAGCATATTGATGAAATTGGAGAATAAAGAAACAGAGTCAAACCTTATTTGTCTTAGCAGAACCTCGAATTTTGCCCCAAGACACAGCTTCGTTGGGTCGGGCACCAGAATTTCTTCCATCGAACTCTTGTGCCATGTTGATAAATAAGCATAATCCGCACAATTGCGCATCATATTTGCATTGCATATATGATGCTTGGGCAGCCCCCCTTCAAGAATTACCATTCCAGTCTTCCTGAGACCAGCATGGACTGCCTCGCCATTCATTGCCCTAATATCTGTTTATAAAGCTGTTTGTGTCCGTTATTCTACAGGTTTTACGAATTAGCATGAGATTACGGTGAAGATCTTTTACCTTGCACGATGTCAATGACTAGACCAGGCTCCTCTTTACAGGAATGGAAGTATAACATATCACCCGGTGAACCATCTGTTTAGCCAGGGCAGAATATGGGAATTTCGTTCTGCAAATAGAAAATACAAGATTGATAAATCATAGAAACTCAACAACTAAACACAGAGTCTTTCTTCACAATAAATTTGGGGTTGGCTAAAATAAATTATTTTTTACTATGTTCAGTTTATTGTTCATTGCTGCTAGTTTTGGTCCACCATCTTCTACAGTGTTCTACCAAGATGGCTTCACTCTTACGAGCGGAAGCCATCCACCTAAGTCTCCCATTCCTTAATGAATTGAGCTCAATTGGATTCACCTCCCCATTTTGGCATATATTATAATATTATCCATCTGGGGACAACTACGGTTCAAAAATCGGCTTTAACATTTCAACTTGGATTGAACTAACTGTACGATCATTTTGCACGCGACCCTAGATAATGTGTAAAGAATCGTGCTACAAATACAATTTTTTTTGAAAAAAACAATACAACCATCACATGGCGTGTCATTATTGGGAGATGGAAAAAAAAAAAAAAATTCTACTTAAATTTTGCCACATCAATTTCGATACAAATTCTGTTAAATTTTTTTTATACTTATGGCTTTAATTGATGTGTAAAAACTGTGGGTCAAACTAGTTGCCACATCATAGGATATCAACAAAGATGTCAATCAAAATGTACATGTAGATAGGTTATTTCAACTTTATCATTTTTTCTATATTTAGCCATTGTTTGGTGGAGGATTAAAATCAAAATTTTAGTATATTTCGATAAAAATTAATAAAATATATGATTAAAAAGTTGTGAATCCATAAAATATATGATTAAAATTAATGAAATTCGTGGTTAAAATTAACTATTAATTTAAATTAAAAATTTTAATTTTAACTTCTAACAAACAAGGTCTTAATTAGAGAGACAATCCTAACTTAGTGAGTGGGTGGGGGGAACCAAATTCCCAATCTCACTCAAAAAATAAGTTTGTATATTTCCATTTTACCCTTCAATGTGTTGAGTTAACTATAAAGGTGCTTGGGAGTTTTGGATAATGGTTATGTAGTTTTTTAGTATAGTTACGAAAGGTTTTGTGTGATTCTTAATCGCAATTTTTAAAATAGTTCAATCTTATGTATGTAAGTCCCTATCACCATTGCTTTCATCGCCACCGTCACCTACAACACCTCCACCTACAACACCAGCAAAAACAAATGATAAACCCCCCAACAACACTAAAATATGTAAAATACCACCACCACCATTGGCACCGATGACCTATAGCACAACCATCACCACCAAATTGTAGTAGTGCCCCTTCTGCGTGAAGCACAGCATTGCAGCGATGGTTGGTGTTGTCCATGTCTCCGCCCTCGTCCACGAAGCACAGTGTTGTAGCGACGATTGGTGATATAATAGGATCATATTCCCTAATCTCACCACGATTACCTTGTAGAACAAGGTAATGAAGGACAGGACGGACTACATATTTTGTCATTGGTAAAGCAAAGCTAGCGTCATTGCTGCATTCCAAGCCATGAAACGGAAGTTAGGAAAGTCTTGTGGGCAGATGGCATAGGGAGCCGGCAGCATAACCAAGCGCAGCTCAAGCTAGAGTCAACCCCATAATCCAGGTAGCCTTCCCCAATCTATTTGAGGAGAATCTATTTGAGGAGCTCCCCATGAGAGATGAAGCAACAGCTTGTGGGATCATATTTCAAAAACCACCACCAGTTATAAAGGACATATGTTCGGTAATGATTATGAGAATCGATTTTTTGACCGTTAGAGAGAAAAGTGGATCCTACCTGTGATTGAAAAAGTAAAAAATGACGGCTAGAATAGTAAAATAACAATAAAAAAATTGATTTTTCTTTTTTTTTTCTTTTTTTTTTTGTGAAAAATTGTTACCAAACGAGGGCAAAGTTCAATATAATAGTAAGATTTCTCAAGTCATGAAATCGAATCCAAAAATACAATGCTAGTTATTTCTTCAATACATGACAAACATCATCAGACATTATAAAGACGATATGAAACAATCCAAATATGATGATGACTAAAACACTAGTTCAGCTCCTCTTCAAGCAATGCTATAAAAAGAATTTCGAATATGTCTCATCAATCCAATATATGGGATGTCCGTTGATCAACATGGTTAATGACCGCCCCAATGATTCCGGACAAAAAGAAACCTTTCAAATATGCAAAAGAGCCCGGGATATTGTCTGGCTAAAAACATGGTTAATTTCTTCTTATCTATCTGAATCCATCGACCAAGATGAATTACAGGGGCCCAAATTTAACTCAAGAAGCGGCCTCAACAGATCATTTTGCGCTGGCAACAAAAGTTTCTGCCACCAAGATGGGAAAAGCAAAAGTTGCATCACAGTGAACCTAGTTTGTCAATAAAAAATAAGGAACGATGTTTGAGAACTGCACAGCATATTGATGAAATTGGAGAATAAAGAAACAAAGAGTCAAACCTTATTTGTCTTAGCAGAACCTCGAATTTTGCCCCAGGACACAGCTTCGTTGGGTCGGGCACCAGAATTTCTTCCATCGAACTCTTGTGCCATGTTGATAAATAAGCATAATCCGCACAATTGTGCATCATATTTGCATTGCATATATGATGCTTGGGCAGCCCCCCTTCAAGAATTACCATTCCAGTCTTCCTGAGACCAGCATGGACTGCCTCGCCATTCATTGCCCTAATAAAGTTCTGCAAATAGAAAATACAAGATTGATAAATCATAGAAACTCAACAACTAAACACAGTCTCTTTCTTCACAATAAATTTGGGGTTGGCTAAAATAAATTATCTTTTACTATGTTCAGTTTATTGTTCATTGCTGCTAGTTTTGGTCCACCATCTTCTACAGTGTTCTACCAAGATGGCTTCACTCTTACGAGCGGAAGCCATCCACCTAAGTCTCCCATTCCTTAATTAATTGAGCTCAATTGGATTCACCTCCCCATTTTGGCATATATTATAATATTATCCATCTGGGGACAACTACGGTTCAAAAATCGATAATACATCAACACACATAAAATTGTTGGGAACATAGAAAACACAAAACTAAAATTATGATATTGTGTAATGATGGCTTTACTAAAATTGGCATATTCTCGTAACCAAGTCCTAACAAACTCTTAAAGGATGCAGATAGCATAACATGCACGAGTGACCAAGATGCAATTCTTTTGTTAAGAGTATCTCCAAGAGACTTTAAATACAAAATGTTCTTTATTTTAGAGAGAAAAAATACTTAAAAATGAGCTCCAAGAGACTTCATTTTAACTTTTTAAAAAAGAGAGTGAGTTCGGCTATCCAAATTTAGGGCCAAACTCACATATTTCAATACTCTACTTCTTAAGCTATTCAAACACATTTTAATTGATTGATGTAAAACATTATGTTAAATAAAATAGGAAGAGAAATCAATAAATGTTTATAGAGAAAAAATCATATGTTTCAATACTCTACTTTTTAAACTATTCAAACACATTTAAATTGATTGGTGTAAAAACTTATTTTAAATAAAATACAAAAAGAAATCAATAAATGTTTCTTGAGAAAAACAAAATGAAGAGCCAAAATAGAGTGTATAAAATTTTGACCCTCTAAATTCAAGGATGTTCTCTATAATACATAAGATACTTTTTATAAATAAAGAGTCTCTTGGAAATGCTCTAAATGATGTAGTTATGCAAGAGAGCACATCAAAAGAAGATCAAGTATTATTACTAATTTACTAGCAAAAGCCAGCTTTTGAGTATTTGCCTCGCTCAAGTACTTATGACTTAATTAAAATAGTTATTCGTCTAATTAAGCCTGTTAGTAAAGGATTATTAAATCGAAGAAGAGCAAATGAGGCTGATCTTTTAAAGGCTTCATTC